TCCTTGATTGCATTTTCCAATGCCTCTCTATCTTCATCTCGCTCTAAATGTTCACCACTCTTAGTTTCACTGCAGAAGGCAAGGTTAACCAGACAACCAAGAGCACTTAATTTTAAGTTTTTAGCTTTCTCCTTCTCAGCTAATGCAAGTAAAATACTGACTGAGTGTCCAAGGACAGGTAAATAACGTGGTGAAAAGAAAGCACCTTTAACAACCAGAGAAGTGTGTTGGATCAGACAAGACAGGCAATTTACGATAGCGAGTTTCAGTTCTTCTGGTATATCAGCAACTTGACCGAGACCATTATCTTTTGAATTCAGAAGCATACACAAATAACTAAAAATCTCTTCAAAAGTGCCCAGCTGGGAAACACAAGCGCGTGTAAACAGAGTTTCCATGCATCCAACAGCAGTTTCTTGCAATTCATTTGTAGCATTAGTGCTCTGTAGCGCAAGTTTCAGTGGAAACAGTACATACTCCACTAGCTGGGATAGATGAGTGGCATCTACAGTTCGTAGTTTGCATTCGAGATCCTTTATATTTTGAGGAGATGGCTCCTTCGACAACTTAATGCATATGGGACGAAGTTGTCTGAATGATTCACTTGGATCAAGGCCCATTTTAGCACCTCACGATCACGATCAGCTGCTCAAAGAAGCCGCCATATTGGATTTGAATAGCCAGTACTTCATGGAAACTTCACAAAGTTTCTTTTGCATTCAGCGGGGTACGGACGGTCATACTGTGGGGTGAGGTGGAAAAAATGAGGAGGAGAGTGGAAATAAATATACTGGTCAAGCTGGAAACAAAAATATGACGGCTTTTGAACTTACCAAAATACTGACTTTTAATGGTTTGTTTGCAGCCAGAACTCTGTTCACTTATTCATATGACGGAAATAGCAGGATTTACCCTATCCCCACCCGGCCCCCTGTTAGCAGGCTAGACTGACCGCCAAGTGGGCCCCAGAAGCCTTTGTGGGTTACTAAATCTGATGCAAGGTGTATGAAATATTTATAATATAAAACTTCCCCGGTTAAGAGAGGTGGCTTTTATTAACAACCAGCTGCCTGTTCTGTCCACATAGAAATGGCTTTTCCCGTTATAGGTCGTGGAGGACAGAGGTACGAACTGCATGAAGGTATGAAGCAAAACTTCTTAAGTTTGTACGGAGAATGGGAAAATGGAACGATCATGTGTCCATCTCTGTTTCCAAGAGACTTTATCAGTCCAGTCAGCGACCTTCCTGGCGTAGCTCCGCTCGAACAACACGTACTTCACACGATTAGGGGAGATGACGCCGAGGAGAAAATCTTTGAAATTTTGAAGCGGTTTGGAGAAGAAGAGAAGCAGCCAATGTTTGTCCTGACCAAACTAAAGATTACAGAATTATTCATGAAGTACTGTATGCCTGACCAGACTTTTCAAGAATTGAAAAAACTCAGTGAAGAAAAGAAAAAGAAAAAATTAGACGTTGAAATTGACTTTGCGATTGTGCACTTAAACATTGGTGTGATTCTAGTTGAAGTCAAGGCAACAGACAAATGGCCGAAAAGAAATGCGCCTTTTAATCAACTATCGGAGAGGGAGAAAATAATCAAGGGCCTTTTACACGAGGAGAGCCACATTCCAGTTTATAAGGTCGTCGCCTTGCCAAATATGGATGGCTCTGGAAATTGCAAGGATGATTTTTTTATTCTGAAGAAATCAGATGTGGGGTCCTGTGAAGAGTTTTCGCAATGGATGCACTCCCATTTCAATGCGGAAGAATGTGGCAGCCAAGAAAAGCAAGAACTACGAAACTTGCTTTACAAACTTGTAGGTGATGATGTTCATCCTAAAAAAGTACTCTCAGAACTTTATAAAAAAATTTGCAGCCAGGCCTGTCTTAGACAACGCTATGAATGTTCAAAGAGAAAAGAGAAAGGAAAGAAGCCAACAGGAGATAAACCCAAACTTGATGAACTGGCAGAATGTTCAACAGCTGAAGAGAAAGGGAAGACGCCAACAGCAGGTAAACGCAAACTTGATGAACTGGCAGAATGTTCAATAGCTGAAGAGAAAGGGAAGAAGCCAACAGGAGATAGACGCAAACTTGATGAACTGGCAGAATGTTCAATAGCTGAAGAGAAAGGGAAGACGCCAACAGCAGGTAAACGCAAACTTGATGAACTGGCAGAATGTTCAACAGCTGAAGAGAAAGGGAAGAAGCCAACAGCAGATAAACGCAAACTTGATGAACTGGCAGAATGTTCAATAGCTGAAGAGAAAGGGAAGACGCCAACAGCAGGTAAACGCAAACTTGATAAATGGGCAGAATGTTCAATAGCTGAAGAGAAAGGGAAGAAGCCAACAGCAGATAAACGCAAACTTGATGAACTGACAGAATGTTCAATAGCTGAAGAGAAAGGGAAGACGCCAACAGCAGGTAAACGCAAACTTGATGAACTGGCAGAATGTTCAATAGCTGAAGAGAAAGGGAAGAAGCCAACAGGAGATAAACCCAAACTTGATGAACTGGCAGAATGTTCTACAGCAAAAGAAAAAGGGAAGAAGCCAATGGGGCTTGTGAAAACAGCAGATGAACCTGGACTTGCTGTAATGGCAAAGGATATTGAATACCTAAATCCTGAACAGTTTTGCGTCTTTGAAGGACCAAATCACCAGCTGATTTGTGGTGTACCAGGAAGTGGAAAAACAATTCTTCTTCAATACAAAGCTTTAGAATGTGCAAGGAAGGGAGAAAAGGTCATCATATGTGTGCCATCTCCTTTGAACAAAAAATATGAAGCCTTTTTTGAGACAAAATGCATATCTAGTGGGGTCATTATTTGTACATTTGCAAATGTTCTCAGTTTTCTTCCAAAGACTGAAGAAAAATTTCACCTATTTGTTGATGAGTTACAGATTCTTTTAGCCTGTAGCAATACCACAATTTTCCTGAAGGCACTTACCAAGAATCAAAATAGTACAGACAATAATTGTTATTGCTGGTTCACCTGTGATGAGACTCAGATCGTGAGCTCAACAAGAAGGACTACCATTCCATATCACGAAGCTTTGTTCTATCCCTCTGTCAGAAGCTTTTATTCTCTTTGGACAAACTGTAGTGTTGACTATCTTAAACTGGATGGAAACCACAGGTTTACTAAATCTTACCTAAGAACAGTCATGAGATCCACTGTACAGGTTTGTGAATTTGTAAAAGAATTTGCACTCAAGACTGATATTTATTCACACAGGTTACTCTGGCAAGTTTACCATGGTATTCCTCCTTTCTCGAAAAAAGATTGGCAAGGAATGATTGGACATCACATTGGTGGATTACCAGTTGAGGAAATTGAAACAGCAGGTAGCCTCAAAACTGTTGCAAAAGCCGTTGCAACAAGCATTTTCAGTGAGTTGCAACTATGGACACAAAAAGAAATTGCTGTTTTAGTCACAGATGATGGGGTTCTAAAAGATCTGTCTCGATCTGCTTTACCCAAACTTTTTGGCATCCCATTGTGTGCTATTGGAAAAGATAAAGATGCCATAGTTTGTGACCATGCAGGCAAGTCACATTCATTTGAATGGCCAGTTGTAATTGCTGTTTGTGGAAGTAAATCAACCCCTGATTTATGCTTTCTCGCATTTTCCCGAGCAGTAGTAAAACTGGTTGTTGTCAATGTCAATTGGCCTTATGTTGTTAATTTTTATAAAAGAAGGATTGAATTATTATACAACAAAATCCGATGAGGAACTGCTCTTTACCTGAATACTAAAGAGTCAATACTGGATAACTATTTTTCTCAGCTAACCTTCCGCAATCTTAAGTGGTTACAGTTACACATGTTTTGTGATTGTTTGGGTTTTTTTGGACCAGGAAAACCATGTAGTTTCAATGAGGTGAGCTGTAATGCCATTCAATTAAATCTTAAATTGACAGATTGTCTGAACATTATTCTTGATCAATAATAGCAACATAGCTGTTAAAAACAGGTTTCAGCATCATGATCTAGCTGACTAGAGTCATCATTGGTTTCGGTGGTAACTGGTAACAAGTTTGGTTTATTTCTTAAAAATACAAAACAGTATTTTTATTATTATTTTTAATTTGATAGTCTACCCCCCCTCCCAGGGAAGTACCTGCCTGTCTTTTGGTGGTAAAATTTGTCAATTGGTATGGTTATTGCCTAGCTGTCTCTTTAATGACCCCCATTGGAGTTAATTATGTTTGCTTGAGCCAAAAATGACCAAAACAATTATCTTGTTAGTTAACAGACTTATCACTAGCCTGAAATTCATCCGATTGCTTCGAGTCATTTTCTCCTCTCAACAACGTCCGAATTGACCGGCCGTTGATGCCGTCCAGTGGCGTCACTCACTACCTGAAAACCAGGTAGTGATTTTGATTGGTTGATTGTCTAAACATTTGCATAATTATGTATAATTATGAAAAATTTTAGCGGGATATTTGTTGCTTCATATTCAGCGGATCGCATCCCTGGCATTCTTTCGTTTAGTTCAAACATTTCGATAAGCTTAATCTTTATCTTAAACAGCAAAATTGCCCTTGTCTTCGAAACTGAAATGCTAAAGTGAACTGCGAATGAAGAATCATTGCCGAGAGTCGGTAGGTTTTTCATTTAGAGCCGCTTTGTGGTTTCTGCGGCCGGTGACTTTGTTTACGCGAAGTTTTTTCTGAGATCAATGTTATAATTCGATCTTCTTGCTATTTTTACTGTCAAGTGTAATGATTCTGTTAGCATTTCTTTCTCGTCTCCTTGTTTTTTCTGTTCCTTAAGGACCAAATAGCTTCTTTTCAATTAAAGCAAATCATTGTGTTTTTGAACTAAGTGTTCCGTGTGTGTGTTTATTTCATTGCGTACAACCGGTTCAGAGTTGTACTGCATGCAGTTGATAGTTTGAATGTTAAACATGAATTACGATCGAAAAAAATAAAGCAGTTCTGTATCATGCAGACATTTCCAAATGACATTTCTCGGTTTGCCACTTGAAAATATCGTGTGTTACTGTTTGCATGAATTAAAGCAAAGGTCAAGGAGTAGTGACGTCACTGGATGGCATTAACGGCCGGTCGATTCAGACGTTACTGAGGGAGTAATAGCGACTCGAAGTAATCGGATCAAATTCAGGCTAACTTATCACTATTTGAATTATTGTCATTGCTCGTTAATTTGTTGTATTATTATTGTAAGTAATATTATTGATACCTCTTAGAGGTGAAAATGAATTTATGACTTGCTTGCAAAACAAGATTTTGGTATATTTTTGGGGTGTTGTCAAAGCAATTTCCCAAGCCAAGCATGAGCACCTGAAAACTCATTTAACAGCTACCACTGACCAGCACTGACAAGATTTTGACTTTGCATAAATTCCATTAAGCCACATTTTACCACAGATCATGGAGCTGAGAAAACTGAATAACGTTACAGTTTGCAGTCTTACATACTTAACCTTAGCAAGTGTCAAAATGTTCTGTTAGGCCTCATGGAGCCTACTATATGTACTCTGAGATTACTAATTAGATTAACCTTGAGGAAATACCCAGTCACAAACTCAGCAGCTAGAGGGCCAATCTGCTGAGTGAAAGCTTCCAGGTTTGAAGCCAGCACTAGTGCAAAATTTGAATTGTGATACGAAAGCTTAAAAAACCAAAATTCACTTTATTTCTTTTTCTCTACTTCAGGATTAGCTGCTCTAAAAAGCATAGCACAAGTTATCTGTAAAAATGCTTTTGAGTAAAAGAAATAGAAAGGTGGATTAAAATTTAACTACAGGTTAGCACTAATCAGCCTTCAAACGACTCTGGGCCCAAGGTGTTAACAAAAGGGGCAATGTAAAATGCAGACTGAGGACTGAGTGCGGACTATTGTCTTTAGGGTTAGAAAACAATGGGACTATTGTTGTCAGGTACTCATTTGCAAGGTGAAAACAATAGTCCACAGTCTTCATTTTACACTGACTGCAAAACAAAACATGAAAATCATGTTAGCTGTGGGTATGCAATTGGCCTTACCTCCTTCATCCTTCCTCACCAATTAAAGGAGCACATAAAGAAACACACTGCTCTTCAAAATGAGCAGGATTACCATACTATGTAGTTGTAAGTTGTGTTTGAGTGAGCAGCAAAAGATTGGTGTGGGGGAAGAGCTTGTTTGCGGGATATTTGTGAGAGTGTCAAAATTGAATGCAAGAAAACATCAGAGCCCAGCAGAGACATTTGACTCAGCTGTACTTAGACCACCACTGATTCACAGCATGACCAGAAATACAATAATCACAGCTCACCATAAGCCCATGCAGATTATTCAGACTACCTCAAACTAGCAGTAAACAGTCAAATTGTTGCTAAAGGACTCAATCATAAAATAAACAAAAATATATTTTATTGTTTGTTGTCTCAATGAATAATAGCAAACTTTTCCATGATATCAACCACTTTTTGCTTCCCTACTTTATACATGTAACTTAATCCACATGTACGGTCTTTTATCACCTAGGCCTAACAGTAAAGAGAAGCATTTACTATGGACAAACACGTTAACCAATAACAATTTCAAATTTTACTTATTTAATGGATGTTTTATTACTATTTTCTGACATCAGCACTAAACAGTCATTAAAAATTTCTCCCTGTGTGTCCATTCCACCAAACACCAACAGAACTGGAAGACTACCATCTGTTTTAGCCTGTGAAGATACACCATCACCTAGAAGTGAAAATAAATAGAGCAAATAAATTGAGCTATTATTTTCGGACAGGATTTTTTAAAATTTGTTAGCAGTGACCGGAACGTGACCGGAAATGTCGTGACACTCATTTAAACCCGATCTGACTCTTTTAGTATCGTATTAGTGTTATCCTTTTTTGATTGACATTTGAAATCAGAGTAGCTGTAAAAGAGAGTAGTGCAAAATCACCTTTTGTTGAGATCGGTCAGAGAGGAAATGTACGAGTGGATGATGATTTTGTGCTCCACAAGTTCGGTACAGCAGTTACCTGTTGATATTGGAATCTCAACAGCACAAAGTGTGTGGTCAAGTCGTGGAGCCGGACTAGGTCCTTTTATTTGTGCTCTTGTCCACGTCAAGGTTTCTATAAGAAGCAATGATAATTAGAGTTTAATGATAATATTAATGTACGTAACACTGCCAAAATGGATTAGCCTAAAGGTCAAGTCAATTCACTGAACTAAAAGTAATTAATTTTTTTGGAAGCCGTATTGGGCTAATTTCAGACAGTAGAGAATACCCACAGTCTGCAAGTGTTGGATGATAATACCCAGCCAGATGTTGCTGCTTGAATTTGGAAAATGTTTGTGATTTAGTGGCTATTTGGCTATATAATTATAATTTTTATTATAAAACAAAACAACAGCAACAGTGACTGCATACTGAGGAAAGACTTGGACTTAGTTCAGACAAAGGCCAATAAACTTTACCACAGTATTATTAACCTGTATCCAACGTATGCACATCATCAAGAGCAGCACCAACTGAATTCATTCCACCATGAATGATAATCTTCCGTCCAATGCATGCTGCAGCATGGGCTGTTCTTGAGCATGGGGCTTGGCCTGTTGGCTGGAGTTTGCTCCATGTGTGATTAACTAGTAAGACAAGAGGCAAAAAGATTATAACAAGTTTATTCAGTTTTGCTTAACAGTTAGTAACCAATCTGGGTTCTCATCCAAAGCTGAGGCATCCATGACTCACTGGTTTTGGCTCTACTGGCTCTTTGTACGGTGTATCTGTAAGAGAAGTTGTTGTGTCACATTGCCATGGTAGCAAAATTTCTGGATCTAAGCAAACGTGGTCCTGCAAATAATGGAAAAAATGACGTGTATAATGTTCCTGTACATGACTGCAGCAGGAACAAAACCATAGCCCATACTTTTCATCCATTGTTCGACGATGCAGATGGTCCTGTCTGTCAAGAACAATTGTTGAGATCCTGAAATTTTGCTACCATGGTAATCTGATGTCACACTTCTCCTTTCTGTTACCTAAAGCTCTGAATACATCCACTGTTTTTTCTGACTTGTCCCTGCATACCCTCGACTCCTTGCACACAGAAAATACTGTGGATATCCCATGGATATCCCATGATGCACTCTTTGGGGCAGTGTAAATTGAAGACTGCAGACTGACTGCGGACTACGGTTTTTAGGGTCTCCAGTCTGTGTTTTGCAGTGAATGCTCTTCTTGCCATTTACATGTATTTGTATCAGTCTGGCAGAAATGAGGCAGTTATTGTTCAAAAATATATTACACAGTACTGTAATATCATTTTTTATCTCAGTTTTAATCACTCTTGTTTTAAATATTTTATTTTGGGCAGAAGGTGTAATAATGTTATGACTTTTGCAACAAGTCTGGTTGGCATACCAGTGTTAAATCTGTAAAGATCATCAAACATATCTGTTCCAGCCATTCCACCATGAACATAAATATCTGTTCCAATTGCAACCGACACATGACCGTGACGGGAACAAGGTGGGCTGCCCTTCACTTCAGGCTGACTCCAACTGTTGTCCTCTGCACATGCAAATAGAACAATTGTTTTGTTTGAAGATTGACCATTTAAAGTAGAACTTCAATACCATAAATTCCTTTTTTCTGATTGCTTATAAACATTGGTTAAGATTTGTTGATCAGTGCCACAGATCAGCTTCAGCATTCAATTGAATCAGCCCTTCAGTGCCACTTTAAGTGCACAAAGTTACGTTATTGGTAACAGAAAATGGAAAAATTTTTTGTTTTTTTTCCCACTTTTAATGTATTTATGGCCTGCATGCTTCACGTATGGGCTATACTGTAAATCTGAACTTGATTAGTATTAACACAGAATCCATCAAGAAATTGAGTAATTCCAATTTTTAGTAGACAAAACCTTGTACCAGAGTATTTTACACAATATCGCATTCTTTTTTACATTTTTCAAGGGCTATAGATGTATTCAGTTATCTGTAATAACATGCACCAAAGAAAATTTCTTATGAGAGCCCGAGAAAAAAGAAGTCAAATTAAAAAAAACACCAACATCTTACACATGAAATTTTCAGAATTTTACCTACATTGTATGTTTTCAGAATTCTTGTGGAATTTGACATTTATTTTCTTGGGCTCCCATTAGAAATAGTCTTTGATGCTATTACAGATAACTAATTATATCTATAGCCCTTGAAAATGTAAAAAAGAATGTGATGTTGTTTAAATTATCCTGGTACAAGGCTTTGTCCACTGAAAATTTAAATTACTCAATTTCCCGGTGGATTCCGTCTTAAAGTGGTACAGTCAAACCTCCCTTAAGACGCCACCCTCTATTACATGTAAGTGGCCAGAAATCCCAAAATAATAGAAAAATTCAAATTAAACCTCTATTTAATTAAACAACTCCGGTCACTTTTTGGCCATCCCAATCAGAGTTGTCCCATTGCTGTCACCTCTATCAAGTGACCATCAAGCACTAAGGGTATCAAGTCTTGATACGCTTAGTTTATCCTCTTTTTAAGAATATGATGAAGGAGAATACAGTCCAAGATTGAAGGTGACAACTGATCATGGACCTCTTCCATCACATGTTTGTTTTAAAATAAAGTTATGTTTCTGCTAAAGATGATGCCGATTAATGACAAACCTCTCCTGAACAGCTACTTGCCAGTACCCCGAGGGTGTCTGCTTAATGGAAGTTTCATTTGATCACCCTTTACAACTGACTATGACCACTGTATTAAATGTTATCACTACATGTAGTTTATTTCAATTATGTCTTGATTTTTAAACACATTTTTCTCACTGAATGAGAATGACCTGGAGTAGAAAAGGAGATCATTATATGGAGAATAACGTGAAACATATTACTAGTTTCAGTCATGATGGTACATCTTACCAGCATTAAAGACATGCAAAGTGGTATCTGGCACAGGATCAGGGCCACTTAATCCACCTCCAAACACATAAAACTTGCTGCCTACTGATGCCATAGAATGACACGTTCTTGGAGAAGGTGGGTTCCCTGTTGTCTCAACTGTTTCCCATTGGCCTTTCTCTGAAAGATAATTTTGTAAATAATTGCTAAACGGTACTTATTCATCCCTCGGATTTTGCCCAAAAATGGGTTTTGAAGCTAGTCAAACCATTTTCCTGGTCGCTGTCTGGCTATAAAGAACCTAAACATGCCATTTACACGAGAAGAACTCTGAGGCCTTCTGTTCCAGATGCTAAATATTGGCCTCTAAAGTTCTAGCATGTGCACAAAGTAATAATAATTCTTGGATGCTAAGTGGCAACGCAGTCTCAACTTTTACCTTTTACTTTCCCTCCTTCTCTCCTCTTTCGGGAAGGAAGTGCAGGTGGGTGGTGGAAGAAGATTTTCATTTGAATTTTGGTTCAACTTTTTATGGTTTTATACCTTTTTCTCTGGCCTTCTTGACCGAATCATTCTCATTCTCCTATCTTTGAAAAATCTCTTCCCCCTGTGCAAGTTAGGACCTGTTTACATGGAGGTGGGGGACCCCAGGTAGGTGAGGTAACCCGCCTGTCCATATAATCTCTCACTTTAATTTGATCACGTTTATGTGATAGGTGGGGTGATCTGCCACATGTTTCCTCACCTATCTGGGGTCCCCCACCTCCATGTAAACAGGCCATTAAATGACAAAATTAAAACTGATAATGTCACAAGGGGAACAAGGGACATGGATCCACAAGTGTGGTAATGAGTGGTTCAGGGGCAAATGGGTTAATACATGCTGGTACACCTCAATTTATTACTAAAACAGTTGCTAATTCTTTAAATGAGAAAAACACAATTGATATTACCATAACTATAAACCCTCCCTCACAATCCAGTGGCTTACAGTATGCTGATCTAAGGCTGATTTTGAATCTTTTCCCAGCTTCTTAACCTACAGTGTCTATTGACGTACATGTACACTATGTGACTATTGAACATGACTATACAAAATACTCACGTTACCTAAATCAAGAAATTGAACACCGTTCAAGTTTGTAGCTTGCTGAGCTCCACCAAATACATAAACCCTCTGAGGATTACACTCAGGAATGAATGCCGAGTGCTCATAACGACTGGTGATGCCCTTCCACTCTGGACAGCTCCACTCATCCTTTTCTAATGCACCAAAAAAATAGAGGAAAGAAAATATCACACTGTTAGAATACGTGCTCTGATATCACATATTATCTTATTATCACCATTACGTATAATAGTCTCAGTATAAACCGCAGTGTAATCCGCCGCTTTCATTATTGCTTGAGTGTTATGTGCCAAAAATGTTCTCTTGGTTTGCTACGTAGATCTGCTTAAGGAACGCCTTAATAATAATGTGTATAAATATGATTTACCAATACAAATAAAATCAGTGTTGTTACTTCTACTTAAGTGGTAAGTTATCTTGTGTGAAAACTATGGCGGCATCGCTCAGCCTAACAACACCTTACATTTCATAGTTAAAAAACTGGAAATTCCAAAAGGTAAAGCAGTGAAATAACATAAGTAATCTGTGAGCATAAAATCAATGAGCCAGTCTGCCGAGTATGGCAAGTGCATGCATCAGTCTTTTTGTTAAAATTAGGCTCAGTACAAAATGGGTCTGCTCATGCAGGATCTCCTTGAGTTCTGCCACACTCTGCAGGCTAGTCGACCAGTAATGCAGAAGGTAATCAAAAAGTTGTGAATAACACAAATGATTAATCAATGACATTATGAGACAAAATAAGCCAGAAAAATTTGTTAGCTGTAGTAAATTAGTCACTCGTTACTTTCACTAGTCACTCGTTACTTTTGGTGACAGTAATATTAAATATTAAACAGCTGATGATTCGCTATTGATTAGCTATTTATGCCACCCATTGTTTTCTTATTTGTCCTCGGTTCAGCTTTCAAGTAGTGAATCTCCTCCTTTTTATGAACCAAAAAAAACAATATATTGAGCCAAAAAAAAAACAACAACCAGCTGCAGGCTACTGATCTGCTATATAAATGTCGGGTGAAGCGATAACAGCGTACGTTTGACATCTGTCAGTCAAGTCTCCATGGTAACCGTTTCTCCCAGACGATAGTTATCTCCCCAAACCATTATCTAAGTCGATAAATTGTATATTAAGCAAGAAGAATACACTTTTTATAAGAACACACCTAGATCCAAGACAAACACATCAGCAAAAGATCCATCAGGGTTTGCTCCTCCGATCACTAAAACACGTCTGGATTCATCAGCCACAAATGTACAAGTATGGCCTACTCTAATGCATGGACCATCTCCCTCCGGAGAGAGAACGTACCATACATTAGGTTTTGGAGACGCCTTAGCCTCTAGGATTGGAAGAATCTCCATTTGACAAATAAAACTACTCTCCTTCTTTCGAGTTCGAACGTCCTCGTTCTCCCGCCATTTTGATACTGAGCCAGAAGTTTTTCAGTCAGCGGATTTTCTTAAAGGTGATATGAATTTCGTCACCAGACCCTTTTCAACATTGAACGTGGCAAATCCAAAATGGAGGAAATAGTGATTGTGTTTACAATCGCCTACGCGCTTGTTTCACTGTGTTTTGTGGCGCCTCCAAGAGAGTTTGTCAGTGCAGGTTTAACCGTGCAGAATATCCTGTCTGGATACTTAGGGAGTGAAGATATGGATGTTGTTGGTTATCATTTGAAAAGAACTACTTCCACTGTGTTACTTCACTCATTGCTTCCACTTGGTAAACATGAGCACCAAGCTAAGATAGTTAGATACTTTTATTTTTATCTTTTCTACCATTCTATTTAATATTCAAATCCCGTCTCCCCTCTACTGGAGGTACAATTGAATTGTAACTTGCAGGAATTTTTTGGTGCCGACATATTTCTTCCCTAATTAGAGACAGGGAGAATCATCAAACGTTGGTGCTGACGTACATGTACAGCTGTTTAATACCGTCCCTTCAGCAGAAAATTAATGGGAGGAATTTTAGAATACCTCATTACTTATCCGAACGCTTTAAAGAACGACGCACAACACAATGTTCAGGTTTTGTTTTTAAACGAGATGCAAACAAATGGCCGGGTAATCTGACCTGTCAGTCACACAGGCTGGAGAAAACATAAAAATTAAAACCAAGTAAAACTCTTTTGTGAAATGGATTTATTAAATGAGAAATCTTTCTGAAACTTATTTTGCACTCCAGAAGAATATGGCATATTCATGTTTTTCTTTTTCCTTTTTTTCTTACACTCAGGTTACTATATTTGTTTGGGACTGGTTTCACCCAGACTTCAGTTGTTTGACCCAGCAAGAGCAGGATTATCTGCTAATATTTGTCTTTTAGCGTGTTTGAGTATTGCTCTTGGTGGTGCGGTTTGTGCTAGATATTGGTCTTGGAATAAATGGTAAGTTCATGAACAAGGTGTATGTTGACATGATGCAAATGATCAGGCTGATTCTTTAAAACTGTTTATTTACTAAAACTGACTAAACTGCAGTGTTAATCTCAGAAAACTCAATATTATTGTCTGTCAACAGTTGAGACATGTATTACATGTAGCTATAAATCTAAAGGGCATTTATCTGCATCAGTTGACCTAAACAGTACAAAACTACTGCAAGAGACTGCATTATTGTGTAAAAGAAATAAATAATTATTACCATTCAGCTAGCCTACGTTACAGGTGCCGGTTATTATATTTTTTACAGGCTGCGTGAGAGGCAAATGTGAATATAGCTCTGCCGTCACTGTTGCAATTTGGCCGAGGGAGGTTGTCTCTTGTCGCAATTTCATTTTACGTGCCTTCGCTACTTTTTGGGCCATGTCGCTTGTTGGAATTTACCCTGGCAGGGCTTCTGTAAACACACAAGCAGCATGACAACGGCTAAAAAACTGTTTGAATCATGCTTGCAAGAATATTTAAAGAAGCTTAGCTGGAAAAGATTTTCGATTTCAGTTTTCATTTTTGAAAAGCATTGTGCCATCTTTTATGGTAAAGATCTCTTGGCAGTATTACTAGCTGGGTTCCGAGAAAGTTTAATTTTTCATTTTATTAAATTTTGAATTGGGGTTCAAAGACTGGAGCTGTCTCTGCAAGCTTTGTCATTATTTCCCTGCTGCAAAGCAGCTGAGGTAACTTCTACGGAATTGTCAGTGTGTTAATGGAAGAAAAACTGGACTGTTTAAAAGAAATATAGCAAGGAAAGTATAACATCACATATGTGTCAGCTGAAGCAGTGATGTACAAAGGATTTATGATTGAAATTGCTAACACTGCCCAACGCAAATATAGCAGTGTCACATTCGCGTTTGTGACTGCGGACCACGGTAGTGGTAGTTGAGGAATATTTCAGTGGCCAGTTAATCTGAAGTTTAGTGTCATTTGCTTTATGCAGGTATAACCAAAATACAAAAGTTTATATTTTCCTTTGGGTTTGTCGTCGGTTAAAATTAATGATGTTAGATGATCGCCTTTCAATCAATTTTTTGTCAGTTGAAGCAGCACTGTCACATTGGGGCGTAATTGGAAAACCATGGTCTCCACGGCAGGCGCCTCCTCTCCTTTTTCTCCCTTTGTGCGTCCTCTACATTTCTTCCTTCGCCCTAAAAAACCAGTGCTTGCTACGCGGGCTACCATTCAGCTAAAATATATTTCTGTATTTAGAAATCAATTTCTCACATTGTTTTCATAAGAAATATATACAGAACAGATGCAGAACACTTACATTGATATTAGGGGCTAATGATAGAACTGCACTTTATAAATCTTTTAAAAGAGGTGCTACATAATTTTGTTTTGTTTTTGTCCAGGTCCCACCATCCTTTTGCAAAACTGTTACTTAAGCATGGAAGCCCTTGGAGAGCTGTAGCATCAAGTGTTAACATAGAATTCCGTCGCATCACAAAGTTTTCTTCAATAATTGGAGGCACCAGCCTTTACATCACAGACTCGTGGATAATTAGGTGCTCGGCATACAAAATAGACATTGCCCATCAACCTGATGTCCACTTGTCAATCATTCATGCAGAAGACCATGCCATTTCTCATGAGAGTAGCGTTGCTGTGCAGTTCTTGAATATCAAAGTTTCTAGCATCACGCCAGGGGTTAAGCCCTTTGTTATTAGACTGAACTCCACAGATTATGGCGACCTGAGGGAAAAGCTGCAAGCTCCAATCAGAAATGCAAGGAATGTTGTAATACACCAGTCACTTAGCGACAAGTTTATTGAGGCTTTTAAGGAGCAAGTTGCACAGAATGATTCCTATCACTTACAGGATGGAGAAGAGGTGTGTACTGTTTGTAGGAAGGTTCTAAAAAAGGCAAAGCTCAAAACAAAAATCATTAATCAAGATCATTGTTTATTTTCTCTTAGGATAATCAAAATGAATTACTATTGCCTTGAGTTTCATTTGTGAGAGTGGTTACCTCCTCAGATATCATATTAAATACAAAAAATTCCATTCCTGGCTATCTAACCTCATTAACCTAAGCTAGGGTGTAGTAAAGAAAAAGCTAAGCAGTCTTATTTACTAGTACAGCTGGCTTTTTACTCAACTACTCCTTTGTAATTTCCCCTCGAGTTTACTTTCCTTGCATTTTGAACTGGTGGTAAGCTCTCTTTCAGTCCATGAAATTCACCAGCAAACTGCTTCTTAGCTTCATCCCCAGTTGAGCTGTTTGCCTTGGAATTCTACCAGCTGTAAAAAGAGTGAAAAGAGTTTCACTTGTAGTCATTGTCCTTTTCCTATCTATTTTGTAAAGGCTAGTCTGTTTTCCTTGCATTTTTTCTTTTCAAAGGTTTCTGTGTATATTTTGTTGTATGTACACTGTACCAAACTAATGTGGTATGGCCTGAACATCCCAGAATTTAATTCAAATTAATTATACATTATACATCCTTAATCATCTATTTTTGTCTTTTAGGAGCCTGAACCATGTATTGGCTGCATGCAAGCACCTGCAAATATCAAACTACAGAAACTGTGTGCTTCAGCTGGAGAGGGACAATGTGTGCCCTGTTATTGCCGTCCAATGTGGTGTATAGACTGTATGGGCAAATGGTTTGCCAGTCGACAAGATCAGCACCAGCCTGAGGGGTGGTTAGCAAGTACCTCGCCTTGTCCAACTTGTAGAGCAAAGTTTTGTATACTTGATGTATGTTTGGTTGGTAGATGATAGTGGAAACACACAGCAGGTGTAGATGAAAAGTGTTCGTGGCCACATTGTATAAAGCATCGTCCTTGACAGAGAATTTTAATAATCGTCTGTCTTGTTAGCAGTTTTATTTGACTGTTGTCACAGTCTTTTCTTTTACTCCTCTTAAAGTCAATAATTTTTTTTTTAGTATAATGATTCAACTTAGAGGGTTTAGAATCAAAGGTGCGAGCGAGAGGGAGTTACAATGTTGCTCTTATTCTCTTCTTATCACCATCAAATGGTGATATGCAAGTGCTGTATCATCTGCTAGTGTTATGAGAAACAACTCTCTCAATCCTCAATAAATGTTGTCATCTGCACATATGGTAAATAATACTGAGTGCTTCATCTCATAGTGCCATGACAAATTTCAGATGGATTGCTGTTACCACAATACTCTTTGTTGTCCATCCAAACGTTTGCATATAGTGTAAGCATTGTTTTCAATTTCTTTTGGGCCAATATTAAAATAATGTTGTAGGTTCCAAGAGAAAATAAAAACAATGCTTATGCAAAATTTTGGAGACTAGAGAGAAAACAAAGACTATAATGGTACTGTTTTTGAAAAAGGCCTATAAAAATTGTGTCAAATATTACTATAGAGATAAATAAATTATTACCAATATTTGGTTATCGTTAGTGTACCGTCAATATATCAGGTTAAGTCAGACATCTGTAAGGTGCGACTTATTTTTACCAGATCTGCATTATTACTGAAATGACTTTTCATAAACCTGTTCTGCAAAATGTCTCATATGGTGAAAAGAAGTTCAACGTAAAGCATTGTCTCAGTAGTATGTTGATTTTTGTTATGATTGCCTGTTACTGCTAGTCCTTTTGTCCTGGCAGAATTCATATTTTTTAAATATTGACCATAATAATTCTCCTACCCTGCAAGCAGGTGGAATTGACTGATGCATAATGGCCACAAAGGATATAAAAATGGGTTAAATACCGATGAATGTTTTTACAATTCAGACTAGGGACATACACTGTACCCCTTCCTATGAGGGCCTGATCATTCGGTTGAGATAGTTAAGAAATTTTTCTTGCTTCGAAAATAGTGATATCTAACTCTTGATCATACAGAATAGTTTGATGACTAAAACTCTGAGAGAGAAGCTCAAAGAAACGTTTGTCTCTATCGTATCGTATTTTGCATGACAATAGAACTACCGAGGTTGCATCGCATAAGTCTTGCAATGTTTTCAGCAAATCATTGAAAGTATCCTCGATGTAAACGATGTCTGCTCCAAGAACAAAATCAAAAGGTGGCGAAAAAGATGAAACGTTTTGTCCCCATTCAAGCTCCTTTAGGGTAACTCTATTCTGATTTTTCCCTAGATTTCCCTCTACATTCATCCTTGTAGTATTCAGAGCCATTTTGCGGTCCGTTATGGTAACATCGCCACCGAGTAAGCTAGCCACTATCCCCGCAAAACCTGTCCCAGCTCCTAATTCGATCACTTTCTTTCCCCGCAGTCGCGCCGCTGTCTTCTCAAGATATCGACCAAGAACGATTGCCGCATCCCAAATAACTGCGGCAACACCAACATCGTTCCAGTTTTGGAAGACAGTAAGAGTCCTTCCAGCAAATTCGAAGGTTCTTTCCTTAGCGTAGAATGGGCTCAAAATGGCCGTCGATGGATCGTAAGGAACGAGGGCCATTTCTGAGAAATTTCCCGAGTATGAAGGAATAAAACAAAAGAAAATCAAAGCAATTATCACTCTGAAAGAACGACTGTGGCAAAACTGTACAAAACACCTCTGAAATTCAGGCATAATATGCAAGCACGCGATCAAAATTCCGGAGACAAAGGGAAGAACACTTTTTGCCAGGCGTTCCATCTAGGTCCCAGTCTTCAGATTTCCAGTCTATTCTCGTTCGATTTATTCTCATTGATGATGTGACGGAACTCTCTTGCAAAATAACCACTTTGTTCTCCTTGCTTGGTCATAACCGGTTTTCCTGGAACAAGACGTTGTCGGAGTAAGATATTCCAAGGCAGATAAGATGTGTGGTTTCCATTTTTGAAGTTTAACCTGAAAAGATGGGGTCTAAGGTGGACGCAAAAGTGGTCCTTCTTGGAAAAGAATACAGTGGAAAAACAAGCTTAGTAGAAAGATATTTACACCATAGATTCAACGAAAATGTTCCCTACCAGAACGTAAGTTGTGAAATCGTTAAGATTGTTCCACGAGTAACATAGCCAGGCTTAAACGTTCCTGCTAGCCGGTAAAGTTGCTTAAGCTTTGAAGCTTAGACTGTGGTATTTACATAAGTCTTAAGCTTGAGTTGAACTTAACATTACACGGAAATTTTACTCAGGCTAAAAGGTTTGGCAATTCATCGTTTCTGTTTATTGTTTCCGTTGGTCAAGTACCTTTCGCTCTCTAAATTAAGCAGTGATAGCTACAACAGTTGAAAGAATAATAAGATATGCCAAAAATGTATAGCAGCCGAACCCTCCTTCCCATGCCCCCACCCCCTGCACCCATCCCAGCTGTTGAAAGC